TATATATATATATATGCATGTATATAGACCTAGCGCGTTTTCACAACCTACTACCTGTGAGATAGTACGCAGAGAATTTGAAAATTTTCAACATGTAGTGATTTCATCAACTGGTGTACCAGAACGATTCAATAGCATGTACTATAATTAGTACCTTTCGCAATGAACTACACTAAGGAATGCCATAGAAACCCCTCATCACGTTCCTTCAACGTGCTCCCACTGACATGTAGCCGGATTAAGCACGCTGGACTTCAAACGAGCGCCGAACAATACAAGTTGCACGACAACTTTCAGTCGTAGAAGTTGAATACCATGGGTGCCGCATGCGCGACCATACTCGGCGCAGAACATCATTTCACACGTAGATTCAATTAGCAACGGCTTTATTTCCATCCAATGGCATCACATGTGTACGTACACTCAAATAACTATGCCTCATGCAGAAGGAGTCCTCCTTGCTCGAACGGCATCCACAGGCCTTCACAACCGACACTCCACTGTTGTTTGCCTGCTTGTACCCAAGATGTAACCTCCAACCAGTCTTGTCCCCCAAGGGTCTGTTTAGTGCCTATTAATCTGGACTGATTACGAGGCCAGTCGTCACCACCTATTTGCTTTTGCTTCGAATCCTGTGGATTGGGTCGCCAGAACATACCTGTTTATTGCACGGATAGAAAGTAGGTAAACTTGTACAGTAAGTATATGTCAAATACAATGTAAAATATTGAGGATAGTTCGTTTTTCCTTGTTCGTGTGCTTATCTCTTGAACTAGTCACTTATATTGTGAGTGACACTATACGTAATCAACATACAGATTCATAACCGTGCATATACTTCACATGCAAAGTGTATATAGCGTTACTATAATAGTTCCTTGTATACTACAATGTCTGAGGGCGACCGCAACAGAGTATACAGTCTATAGATCGCACACCTTTACAATACCGTAGGTATCCAAACCAGACCACGTCGTCCAAAAAAAAACAAAATACCTGTACAATGTCCCGGATGTTTCATGACATACACAGCCTCTTTGCCTTGTAGGGCAGGCTGGCTATCAGATTTCTCGGCACTCTGTTTGTTTCCCATCATTTCTATTTAATTAGTGTGTTTAGTAGAAGTGAACTCAGTTTATCCAAGTGTGCAATAGAAAACTCCTATACTTATACGGTCAAACGTAGTGTAGTGTGCCTGTCTATAGTGATCTATACTATGCATGGACTTCGAAGTGCATATGTATTTATTCTAAATATGTATATTTTTTTGAGATGTAAACAGTTTGCACATAGATGGTGCACAATTGCACTACAATCTACATATAGTGCAATACGTAATATATCGGACTATCAGTATCAGTCTATCATTACCAAATCAGAATAGAATGATGGTATTTGAAATTTCGGTGGGTCTTGGAGTGTGAGTGAATCCATGTGATGACTCATCGCGCGTCGTGAAAATAAATATGAAAATGGCGTAGCCCACTAAATTATACAAAATTTGAAACAGGGACCCGAGCAAGTATACCTAATACAGACAGACCCGAGAATTTAACTATTTTAGAAAAGAAAGAAAGAAAAATAAATAATGTATTGGTTCATTGTGTTGTATAATAAAGCGACGTCGACCGCCGCGGCGCCGACGCCCGACATTTGGGCAAACGACATGCCTAAAAATTACATATCGCCGCGACATTTTTTATGATTTTTTTCATTTGGGAATATATTTGACCTGGGTTGGTATTCCGAATTACGACAACGACGTATAGTCGTATACGCCTACACGGTATACGACTGTACTTCGTTGTCGTAATTATACGGAATATCAACCCACATAGCCTTCAATATGTGAAATGGGCCGAATGGCCGTGTAACGTAAATAAACGTGCTCTAAGAGTAAGTCATACATTGTAAATAAATACTAGTGAATCAATAAATAGTTAATACACTCAATGCAGTCACGAGTCCACATATGAAGGTCAGATCTGTATTACGAACAATACAAGCGTCCGAGTACCGTGACGTACCTGGTAACTCATCACAAGTCACAACACCCGAGTGATACCAATACGGTGTCAGCAGTACACGCTGAATGTACACGCTAAATACGTTTGTACGTTCAATATTCCATTCTGCTTGAACAGTACACCCACCCACACACAACATGACGAAACTCACAGACACACCGGCAGAGGGTCTACGTATTTGTTCACTACTCCCTTCGTCAACAGAGATTGTGGGCCGATTAAGCCTCCACGAGCACTTGGTAGCCGTAACACATGAATGCGATGAGTGTCCTGGTATTATTCTCACTGATAAAATCGAACAAGGTGTGGTTACGCATAATTGTTCGTAACCGTTTGTTTTTAACACACACATACACACAGGTGCTCTCTCACATACACACGTACCCACACCCACACGCCCACACCAACACCCACCCGAATTCCCCCCTCCGACACACACAAACACAAACACAGACACAAACACAAACACAGACACACACACAATCACTCATACAAACACACACATAAATATATACATGAACACACTCATTCACACAAACATACACACACACACATTTTCACACACACACACACACACACACACACACACACACACACACACACATACACTACACTACATACATACA